CCCAGCCAATCAAATTCCTGAGCTTCCTATCTATTACCAATTTTCCCCAGAGATTTTTTCCCAGAGTAAATCCAATTCTCAGCTACCCCTAAGATCCTAAGAAATTTGACCGGAATTCAATTCCCAAAACACTTTCTCCAATGTCCAAATAACTGCTCGCAACTGTCAAATTATCGTTACTACAAATTGAAGGCATCACACATCTATCCAAATTCAATTCACCACAACAACATTACCAACCTCCTTAGACACTGAAATTTAACAATCAATTCAAAAAAGACAAAAGACCCATCATCTTCCCATCTCAAATCCTTCAAATTCTCACACTCTACAAATTCAAGGCATCAACCACCACTCTGTCCAAATTCCACCCACAAAACAACATTAACCAAAACCTCCTTACACACTCAAAATTCAAAAAAACCAATTCAAAACCCATCATATTTTCCCCATCTCAAAATCCCTTCAAATTCAACAAAACAACACTCTTTGTATCCAAAAATCACGCTATGTCCCAATTCCCCCCCCCCGCCCGTTCAAGAATTGACCCCAAAAGAACAAAATTTTCCAAAAACAAATACCAAAAACCCACAACAAGAAGTTACCAACTCACCCAAAAAAGAAAAAAAAAAAAAACGCGCAACTGTATGTCAATTCCACAACAGCCCACAAAACCATACAGTTGGTTATCTCTCGTCTTTTCTCTTATTCACTTGCAAGGAGGGAACCCAAACATCAAAAGTGTTAAATAGTAATCCTTGTCGGAAACTTAAAGCAAAAGCATCAACTTTTTTTTTTTCAAATCTTACACATGTAACAAGATGTCTATATACTATATAACACATGATATAATAGACATTAACATTAACACATACATATACGAAAAGTAGTTCAGGTGTTGCGAGCTTTTACCTGAGAGAGAGAGAGAAACCCAGAAGCCCTTAAAGTGGAGATAAGGTTTGGAAGTCTCAAATTTGATGAATTGGGATCGGTGTGAAATCGAATATTATTATAAGAGGGTTTCGATAGGTTTACAGAGATGGTGAAAACGAATTTCAATTACAAATACACAAAAAAAATCAAAAATCAAAAATAACAAGAAGAAGGAAGAAGAAATGAAAAGATAATATAAGTTTGTTGTCAATTGTAATGGAACGTCATTGAAATGGGATGAGTTTGATAATTTTGTAATTAATGCATATACACATTGAATAAAACGTTGTGGTGTTGAATTTCTCGTTTATCTCTTCTCACTCTTGGGACAAAATCTACGTATATCTATACATATATATATTATAATTATTTTGGCTAAATATTATTATTTGGAATGACTTTTTGTCAATTAACATGTTTGGAAGGAGAAAATAAGTAATCAAAGTTTATAACAAATGATAAACACTATAGTAAAAGTTTTCGATTGAGTTCGCCAATCGTCATTAAAGATCTAGAGATGAGAGAACTGAGTGGCTATATGCCATCGTTGAATCGCTATTTTAAATTTATTTGAATAGTTCATTTTATAAGATTCTTATGTTATATCAATTTAATAAAAATAAAAATAAAAATAATTCAATCTAATAATCATAACTTTTTCATTTTATTGGCATTTCTCTTTGAAAAAATGAATGAAAATATATATTTGAAATAGACTATCTATTTTTTTATAAACAAATGTGATAAAATGAAAATGTTACAATATTTTCCGAATTGATCTAACATATTTCCATGGATGATATACATTGAGAGCTCTACAAAATGAACAATTTCAGATTATCGAAACGAGATCTGTAGAAGGCTTCTACCACCCTCCCCCTAAAAAAAAAAAAAAAAAAAAAAAAAAAAAAAAAAAAAAAAAAAAATTCTG